GGGTTCAACGAAAATGAGGAACAAATTCGGGAAAGAAAGAAGTTGCGTGCACGGGAGAAGATCGCTTTGTCGCCGCTTCGATCGCCACCCAGGAAAATCCTTTAATAATATGCATTTGCACATCTTTTGTTTGTATTTTGAGTACCAAAATTGGTATTCCATGTTACTCGGCTCCGCTAAGTTATTCTTTTAACATTTGAGCCTGCCAAATAAACAAAATGAAAAAAAAAAAAAAAAAATCTCGAAGCCAACAAGCCGCTCAAGATGGTGCCGCGTGGCCTCCCGGACATGGATATCGTCAAACGTAAGCAGCAACCGCTGGATCTCGCAGCTCCCCCCCCCCCTCCCTCCGGGACTATCAAGGCGTCACGATGATTTACCACCACCGAACGAAAACACAGATGCTCTGTCTGTTCACAGCGGAGCAACAGATCCCCGGATCCAGCTTGCCACACGATTGTGCAGTTACGAAACCCATTACGACCAGATTTACACTCTGGGCCTTTTCGTCATTGCGTATGGCCTTTCAAGTGTTGAAGCTAGAGTTTGTTGAGTTTCTCAATAAACGAAACATCGACATTGTCGTAATAATTGAAACCCGAAATTACCATCTACCTTCCCAATTTACGGCTCGTGAGGCTTGATCGAACCAACTCTGGAGGAGGAGGAGTGGCTATTGCCGAGCTTTCAGCTGAAGATTATCGAATCCGTAGGGGTTGAAGTTTCTACTCCTGTCGGCCCCATCACCATCGTTGCGGCTTACTGCACCAAACATTGTCAAGCTAACACGACGCGACGACGGGAAAACTTCATCATCGCTAGTGACCTGAACGCCAAACATCAAGCTTGGGGCAACAGTCGGCGCAACCAAAACGGAAGCATCCTGAACAATGACCTACAGGAAGCGTAGTACAACATCTTGAGTCCGAACACTCCCACCCGGTTGAGTCGGTCCGGTGCAAACGCTACCATCAGACACTTGGCCAACAACATCGCTCAACCTATCACCTACCAGGAACTCAGCTCGGACCACTATCCGGTGGTGGCCGAAGTTGGTTCTTCGGTGAACCGATTCGAAGCTTCCCGGCGCAACTACCATCGTTTCAATTGGGCTCAATATCAACACTGCATCGACTGCAATGTCCAACCGGAGACGTCCGAAGACGTTGACCGGTGTCTACATACCATCGAAGAGACGATTTCCCGGGCCAGGGAAAAACAGGTGCCCATTATCCAGACAGGTGAGTAACACTCTGAACCTTGACAGCGCTACTAAAGAGCTCCTTAGACTTCGTAACACCATTCGTAGGCAGTACCAGCGTACTGGTCTGCCTACCTTGAAGACCAATTGAAATCGATTAACAAAGATCATTCAGGCCAGGATGGTGAATCTCAGAAATAACGAGTAGGGGAAATGTATGTAATGTCGGCCTAAGTGTCCCTAATTTGGGCCCATACATAAATTCAGCAATCGACTAAATTTTCAATAGCAACCAAAAATATCCATTAGTACCGTCCCAATGCGTTCATCTATTGATTATGAATTGATAAATTGCAGATTTTTAGCGATGGGCCCAATCTTAGATCCATAGGCCAACATTAGAGCCATTTCCCCTATGTTAATCAAATCCGTTCTCTCCCAGATTGCGCAAAGCCTCTCTGGAAGCTAACCTTAAAAAATAAGTCCAGACCCATTCCACCACTGATTCCACTGAATTGACCCGATGATTCAGTGGTTCATCTGAAGGCTGCTGTGATTGGCTAACACTTCGTCAGCTCCCACTGCCGTTGCTGAAAGCGCAGTCAACCTTCATTTGATTCCCAACAACTTCCCCGATCAAATCTTCCAAAACTATGATGGCCCCAGGTTTCGATAACATCTTAAATCTAGAGCTAAGACATATGAGCTCTCGATTCTATGATTAGCTTGCACTGATTTTCAATCAGTGCCTTAGGCTTGGCTACTTCCCCTCGTGTTGGAAGTTAGCTAAAGTGATACCTATCCGTAAACTTGGGAAGGATCCTTCCTCTCCCTGCAGCTACAGACCTATCAACCTTCTCTCAGAATTATCAAAGCTTCTTGAAAAAGCAATTTACCGGCGTCTTCTAACATCTGCCGCCGAAAATAACATCTTACTCGAGGAGCAGTTTGGTTTTCGACAAGATCGGTCGACTTCTCACCAACTGACTCGAATAAGCAATATTCTCAGGCGGAACAAGTCTGTATCTAAAACATCTGCCATGGCATTGTTAGACGTTGAAAAAGAATCCAGTCCAGGCAATCCTTATTTTTTACAAGAAGTCCTCCGCATAACTGCCTTTGAATACCCATAAGAATTCATTTAGATTTATCCCTAGCAATCTGTAGGAATTATCATCGACATTAATTGCATAAAGCCGAAGCAAGGCTAAATTCTAAAAGGCTTGATAATTGTTCAAAAATGTTGATGATTGTTTTCAAATCTGACATCAAAAATAAGGGAGCTCCCTTAGCTCAGGCGGTAAAGGTGCAGCTACAAAGCAAGACCATGCTGGGGGTGGCTGGGTTTGATTCCCGGTCCGGTCTAGGAATTGTTCGGGTTGGAAAATTTCTCGACTTCCCTGGGCATAGAGTGATTGAACTTGCCACACAATTATCCTGATGCAAAAATGATACAGACTTGAAAGCTCTCAATTAATAACTGTAGAAGTGCATCTAGAACACTGTGTTGAGAGCACGCAATAAGCTTGAAGAACGAAGAAGAAGAAGAAGAAGAAGATAATCAAAACTGAAAACTTACGTTAATCCAAAAAGGATTTCGTAAAAAATCGAAACATAAAATTTTAAGAAATTTCAAGAATCAAGTGGACATAAATTTCAGTGTAAACCTTACCCAACACTAGTTACGTCACTGGCAAAGAGTTTGATCCAAGGTTAGGAAATTGTCTGTCTCATGATTATTATTTCATAAGGATAAGCCTTTCTATATGAATCACATTTCAACTTATCTAATTTCTTAGTGAATAATAGTTACCGAGTAGAAATTTAATTGGCTTGTTTGCTGCGTTCAAACAAGCAATGTCTGCCATTTACAGATATTTCTACCCCATGAATGTGGAGATCTGAGCTCTCAAACTCGCTATGTAAGGGAACGAAAAACCAATAATTATAATTATTTTATGATTTCACAAGCAATGTATTTCATAATGTTGAACAAGCTTAATTACCTATATACCCTTTGGAAAGAGACTACCGGGACGTAATTGAAAGATAAAAATTGCTATTACATTATTGCAGCATATTGCACGAAATTTGATTCCACTTTAAAATTGGAGCTCTCTTGCATGCACCAGTTCCATTCATTGAAGAAAAGCCTGGCACAGTGAAAGCCAACAATTGAATTGAAAGCGAAGCGAAGGTGAACGAGTCCACCTTTTTCCCCCCAGCTGATCCCGCATGCTTGATCAAGATACCGAAGTGGAATCCACGTTGTCAAACCGGAGGCTCGTCACCAATCAAGAACTTCCCCCCAGATACTAACCTTAGATTTCGGCTCCTTGGCTGCCTTTAGCTTGCGAACCAAGTCTCCCTGGGCGGTGATCTCGGCCTGCACAGTTTCCCGACCGGTCATCACTGGTTGCACACGTACTCCGTTCTTACGATTCGATCCGAATAAAATGCAATGATTTACAAATCAAAAGCGATTCAGAAAGGCAGTAAAATTCAACATGCGCTAGCGACAATCCAACGTAAACAGCGAACGTCGACTCGATACTGTTGGATCGAGATTGTATAGACTCAATGACATTTATATAAGGTCTGGGCCAACAGGCAGCTTGCTGGTGTTAGAAGCAAAAATGTTGTAAACATTGCTGAACATCTGCGAACAGATAGAAATACGTCACTGCCAACAGCTGTTTCGTGTAAAAAGATAAACATTGCAATAAAATACAAACACCACTAAACATTTGCACATTTCACTAACACCAATAAGCCCTTTGGCCCAGACCTTATATAAACGCCATTGGTACAGACTGACACTATTGGCCTTTGACAGCAATTGGCGTTGACGGCGACTCTGTATATATAGCTCTTTACTTCTATGAGAAAATCCATAAGCAAACGTCAGACTGTGCGTGAAACATGGCGGACTCTGTACTATCCTTTCACTCAACCGAAAATTCACATAAGAAACTGTCTATATTTGCTGGAAGAACAAATTTTTCGACGGTGCCGTCAACGCCATGAGCTGGATTACCGAATCGGTTATGTTGTGTGAGTGAAACCCTGAAGATACAAGCAATTAGTGACGTCACTAATTGCGTTTACGTTGATTTTTTGGTTTACTAATCCAACTATATTTCACAATCTGGTGAACCTCTCTCTGTGCTCCTTGGGCAGGGAGGGCTGTTCATTTGGTTTACGTTCACGCACGCACACAGTTTTCCGATGTTTTGTATTGGTTCGAGCTGCACATGACTTGTTCAAAACTGATTTATTCTTTAAATTCCGTTATAATTGCTTATCTTTTGACAGATACGCGTATTTCGTCTACTACTTGCAGACTTCATCAGTGCCAAGTACTCAACTGGCACTGATGAAGTCTGCAAGTAGTAGACGAAATACGCGTATCTGTCAAAAGATAAGCAATTATAACGGAATTTAAAGGAAATAAACCAACCCACTCAAAGCTCTTCATAAAGGGATTCCGTTAAGAGGTCCGACAAATTTAAAGGATTGATTTATTCTATTGAATTTTTCTAACCTAACTATATCTTAAAATGTCAATACATTTAATTTTTTGTAATAGTAATTTGATCTTTATTTAGTTGAAGCAACAACTTTTAGTGAAAATTGTCCATCTATCATGGTAAATGGTATCCTTTGCAAACAATACTACGGAAAACCAAATGTAATGAACACGTAATCAAGAACATAAACACGTCGAGAACGTCAAACCTAAAAGTGACATCAGTATGCTCTATACCACTGCGCTGATAACAGACAGAAAAGAATCCATCGGAATCACCGGAACACAAAAGCTAGTGATCAGAAAGTAGCAAAACAAACAAGCATCCATTTACGCTCTCCGTTCCGAAACGCTGCATTGGCCAGTGACCGGGCCGTATAGTGCAATAACAGGGCCAGTGAGAATCCACCGCGTAGCAGTCGCCGCCGCTCCACTCTCCAATCACCATCGTGCGATGGGCCAGCAGGTGTCGAGTCTACCGCAGAAGATCCTGCCGTGCGATACGGTGGACTCGCTGCAGTTCGAAATCAAGAAGCAGGCGCAAATATTCTCCGAAATCGGAAGCCTCACCTACGAGGACTTTCAGAAGTGTCTGGCCGATCTCAACAGTTTGTGAGTATATCTGCTATCGGTGTTAATCAGTCGCATATTCGTCTGCCTGAAAATCTTAATAAAGATAAGCAACCAACCAACCAGTCGTACATTGCAAATTAGGTGGTACATACTGATACTATCATGTGCAATTAAATTTTGATAACGCAATTCGACAGTGAGCGTTCATAAGGGCCTGATTGGATCGATTCTCTTTGTCAATTTTCTCTTTTGTTAATTACTCGCTTGGATTTACCTACATTTCTCGATGCGTTTGCTGTTGCTTTTGATAAAATCTATTACAGCACTGTATTGGGGTGAGGGGGGGGGGCTGAATTTTCCCATGCTTGGTTGGAAGTACTCTGAACCCCTCGTCAGAAGTTCTCTCGGGATTTCATTGATCTTCTCATCGGAAATTCTCTGAATTTCTCGTTGGAAGTTCTCTGAAGCTCTCACCGGAAGCTATCTGAACTACTCACCGGAAGTTCCCTGAACTTTACGTTGGGATTTCTTTGAACTTCTCGTTGAACGTTCACTGAACCTCTCCTTGATAGTTCTCTGAATTCGTCGGAAGTTGTCTGAATGTTTCGACGGAAGCTCTCTGATTTTCTCCTCGAAGTTCTCGGAACTTCTCTTTGGAAGATCTCTGAACTTCTAGTAAGAAGTTCTCTGAACCTCTTGTCGGAAGTTTTCTGAACATCTCCTTGGAAATTATTTGAACTTCTTTTCGGATTTTTTTTCTGAACTCTGTAAAAAAAAGTCTCTGAACTTCTCCTCGGAAGTTGTCTGATCGTCTCGTCGGAAGATCTCTGAACCTATCCTCTGAAGTTCTCTGAACTTCTAGTCGGAAGTTCTATGAATTTATAGTGGAATGTTCTCTGAACTTGTCCTCGGAAGTTCTTTGCACTACAGAGATCTTCCGACGAAAAGTTTAAATAATTTTGAAGGAGAGATTCAGAGACTTTCCCTGAGATTATTTTCGGAAGTTCTCTGAACTTCCTCTGGAAACTTCCCTTTTGGAAGTTCTCTGAACTTCTGCTCGGAATATCTATGAACTTCTCGTCGGAAGTTCTCTGAACCTCTCCTTGTAAATTCTTTGAACTTTTCGTCGGAATTTTTCTGAATTTCTCTTCGTAAGTTCTTAGAATTTCTCGCCAGAAAATCTCTGAACTTCTTCTCGTAATTTCTCAGAAGTTCTATGAACATCTCGTCGGAAGTTCTCCGAATTTCTCATCGGAAGTTATCTGAATTTCTTCTCAGAATTTCTCTGAACTTCTCGTTGGAAGTTCACTGAACCTCTCCTTGATAGTTCTCTGAATTCGTCGGAAGTTGGCTGAATGTTTCGACGGAAGCTCTCTGATTTTCTCCTCGAAGTTCTCGGACCTTCTCTTTGGAAGATTTCTGAACTTCTAGTAAGAAGTTCTCTGAACCTCTTGTCGGAAGTTTTCTGAACTTCTCCTCGGAAATTATTTGAACTTCTTTTCGGATTTTTTTCTGAACTCTGAAAAAAAAGTCTCTGAACTTCTCCTCGGAAGTTGTGTGATCGTCTCGTCGGAAGATCTCTGAACCTATCCTCAGAAGTTCTCTGCACATCCCGTCGTTCTCTGAACTTCTAGTCGGAAGTTCTTCGAATTTATAGTGGAATGTTCTCTGAACTTCTCCTCGGAAGTTATCTGAACTACAGGGATCTTCCGACGAAAAGTTCAAATAATTTTGAAGGAGAGATTCAGAGCACTTCCTACTTGATGTTCAGAGACCTTCTCAGAGATTATCTTCGGAAGTTCTCTGAACTTCCTCTCGAAACTTCCCTTTGGAAGTTCTGTGAACTTCTCGTCGGAAATTCTCTGAACCTCTCCTTGGAAATTCTTTGAACTTTTCGACGGAATTTTTCTGAATTTCTCGTCAGAAGCTCTCTGAACTTCTTCTCGTAGTTTCTCAGAATTTCTCTGAACTTCTGTTCAGAAGTTCTCTGAACATCTCGTCGGAAGTTCTCCGAATTTCTCATCGGAAGTTATCTGAACTTCTTCTCAGATTTTTTCTGAACTCCTCCTCAGAATTTCTTTGACCTTCTCGTTGGAAGTTCACTGAACCTTTCCTTGATAGTTCTCTGAAGTTGTCTGAATTTTCCGACGGAAATTCGCTGATTCTACCGTCGGAAGTGCTCTGAGTTCTCGGATGTTTTCGGAACTTCTCCTTGGAAGATCTCTGAACTGCTAGTCGAAAGTTCTCTGAATTTCTCCTGCATCTTCAACTACTCCTGCCAGTCGCTTGCTTGTTGACGGCACGGCTTTTCATGGACTGAGCCAGATAAACCTTGTTCCCAATTTCCAGTCTCGTTTTCTTGACTTGGTTTTTGTTAGCGAAAGTGCACTTCTGGACTGTGTCGTCGTTGAAGCGCCTGATGACATCGTTCCTCTTGACAATTTCCACCCTGCTTTGGATATATCTATCGCGAACGGATCTCAAATTCGTTTTGATGAAACCATGACTTCCACTCGGCTCAATTTCCGGAAGACCGATTTCCGTTTGCTGAGACGTTCCTTGCCCGGATCAACTGGAACGTGTTGAATGACCTTGATATCGATACAGCAGCCGCTCGCTATAATAGCCTGTTGCGCGACTGTGTTTGTGCTTCAGTACCGAAGTGCCAACCTCCAAGAAAACCGCCTTGGTCTAACGCTACTCTCCTCAACCTGAAACGAGTGCGATCTAGAGCTCTCCGTGCTCTCACTCATCGACGATGTACCCTTACCAAGCGAAATTTTTCAATTGCCAGCAATGATTATCGCCACTACAACAAGCTTCTTTACAAGAGGTATGTAATTCGTATTCAACATAATCTGCAATGCCACCCCAAGGGATTCTGGTCGTTTGTGAATACTAAGAGGAAGGAAACTGGACTGCCGTCAAAAATGTTTCTCGGCAATGACGTAGCATTGACAACTGAGGACAAATGCAGCCTATTTGCTAGGCACTTCTTAAGCGTCTTCTCGAATGACTCCCCATCGCAAGCAGAAATTGAGCGAGCCGTCCGTGATGTGCCAACCGACGTCGTAAACATGGATGTTTTTGCCGTAGATGTACAAATGGTTCTCTCTGTGATGAGTAAAACCAAATCATCATTTTCACCAGGTCCGAGTGTTATTCCATCTGCAGTCCTAAAAAAATGCTCCGATATCTTAGCTGCTCCGTTGTCCTTGCTCTTCAACCTGTCACTTCGTCAACAGAAATTTCCCGCACTATGGAAACGGTCTACTATGTTCCCTATTTTCAAGAAAGGAGACAAACGCAATGTGGAAAACTACCGTGGGATTACCTCGCTTGGGGTTGAATCTAAGGTGTTTGAGTCGCTGATAAATGAGAGATTGTTTGCTTCCTGCAAGCATTACATAAGTACATGTCAACATGGTTTCTTTCCTGGCCGCTCCGTGGAAACTAATCTCGTCAGCTTTACGTCGTTCTGTATGGAAAATGTATGCAAGAAACTTCAAGTGGATGCCATCTACACTGATCTTAAAGCTGCGTTTGATAGAGTTGTGCACGACGTTCTGCTAGCAAAGCTTGAAAAAATTGGATGTTCTGTTTCCTTCTGCAGCTGGCTTAGCTCGTACCTCGTGCAACGTGAAGTTACTGTATGCATTGGAAACTACTCATCGTACTGTTTCTCGAACAGATCAGGAGTTCCACATGGTAGCACTTTGGGACCAATGCTCTTCTCTTTATTTGTGAACGATGTAACGTTTATTCTACTACGAGGAGGTAAATTGTTTTTTGCCGATGACTTGAAGATTTATCTAGTCGTTCGAGGCTATGCCGACTGTTTAGAACTACAAAACCTTCTTGAAATCTTTAATGATTGGTGTGAACGTAATTTTATGGTCCTGTGCGTCTCAAAGTGCTGCGTAATTAGTTTCCGTCGAACTAGGACTGCCATTTTGTTTGATTATAACGTTGCTGGAACTGCAGTTCAACGTGTCGATCACGTTAAAGACCTCGGTGTCATGTTGGATGAAAAGCTCACATACACTCGCCACTTCTCAACCACGATCGACAAAGCTAATCGACAGCTTGGATTCATGTTCAAGATATCTAAGGAATTTCGTGATCCTCTGTGTTTTAAAGCCCTTTACTGTTCATTGGTACGCTCACTACTGGAATTCGCGTGTGTTGTCTGGAATCCCTACCAGGCTGTATGGAGTGGACGATTCGAAGCTGTTCAACGCAAATTCGTCAGATACGCACTGCGCTATCTTCCATGGAGTGACCCGCTGAATTTACCACCGTATGCTGACCGCTGTCGTTTACTGGGTTTGGATACTCTTGCTAAGCGACGAAACATATCGCAGGTCGTCTTCGTTGCTAAAGTTTTACTCGCAGAATATGATGTTCCTGAGTTACTGGCCAAAATTAATCTGTATGCTCCTGCCCGAACACTCCGTCCGAGAACCTTGCTACATGAAGTAGTACATGCAACAAACTATGCTGCAAACAGTTCCTTTGTCGCCATGATTCATCAATTCAACGAAGCCTCTGACCTATTTGACTTTGACATCAATGCCTCGATGTTTCGTCATCGTTTGCTGTTGGCCAATTTTTAATTTTTAATGAGTGACTACATTTAGATTTAAGTGTTTCATTGAGACTATCAAGTCAGATGGACTATAATAATAATAAATAAATAAATAAGGAACTTTTTGTCTAAAGTATCTGATCGTCTCGTAGGAAGTTCTCTGAACCTATCCTCACAAGTGCTCTGAACTTTTCATCGGAAACGCTCCATACTTCTAGTCGGAAGATCTCTGAACCTATCGTCACAATTCTCTTCACATCTCATCTGATGTTCTTGTCGGAAGTTTCATCAGCTTTGTGATCCTATCGTTCCCTTCAGTAGCGTTTTGAACGATTTTACAGCGCTCTCCCACAAACCTCCGAAGTTGGGTGAGCGCGCCGGAATGAAACGAAATTCAATAATGTCTTTCGCTGCTTCTCTGAGCGTGGTCTGGGAATTGATGGTTGATGAAGAGTTTGCGTAGTTTTTGGCTTAGTCGCACGTAATGATGACAGGTTTTCCACTTCGAGACGAAAATCGCTTGAAGGAAGCTAGGAGAGCTTGTGTTGTTGGGGAGACGAACCAGCCCAGGGCTGAAAGTCTCCTTGATAAAGATATAAAAAAAAGCTTGTGTTGTTAGGTCATCCACTAACTCCAGGTGCACAGCTTTTGTGACTAGGCAAATGAAGACCACGACGAAACATTTCACAGGGCGAGTACGGCGCTGAGGATAAGCGACCAGAAATGGACCACAAAGGTCGATGCCAACACGTTGTAAGGGAGTGGTGTTACCCTCTCCGACGGAAGGTCAGCCATTAGCTGCTCATGAACCTTCGTTTTGGTACGAAAGCAGCGTACGCAATCGTGGATTACTTCATTCTGACACTCATTTCTATCCTTAACGAAATTTGGTACGAACTTCTCAACTAGGGGAAATGGCTCTAATGTTGGCCTATGGATCTAAGATTGAGCCCATATGCTATTTATCAATTTTATCTAGATGAACGCGTCATTGGGACGGTACTAATTGATATTTTCGCTATCGCTATTGAAAATTTAGTCGATTGCTGAATTTTTGTATGGGTCCAAATTATGGGCACTTAGGCCGACATTACCATAGAGGTAACTCTAAGACCAGAAGGTCCCGAAGAAACGAGCTCAACTTTTTGGCTCAGCTCTGGTATCTTCGGTCCCAAGCTAATCGATGCACCCCTCGAAACATAGGAAAATCCACTAACCCCTTATTTTATCTGTCAAACTTTCATAGTGAATCAAAACAAACATACACGGCGAATGAGAACGACCCAAATTTGAGTTTAGTTCACTCATAATCGCCAAAAGTGCAGGAACTCAGCGATGAGTAAAATTTGTCTCATGGTTTGCTGTGGAAAACCTAAAAAATCTGCCGGAAAATGAAAAAATTGACGAAAATTTTATTCAGTCCCGGAGTAGTACCAATAGACTGAGTGAATCCAATCTTTACTTTTCTCAAATTCAAGATTTTTTCCCTGGAAAATCCTGGAAAAACCTGGGAAAACATGAGGCAAATTTACTCATCGCTGAGTTCCTGCACTTTTGGCGATTATGAGTGAACTAAACTCAAATTTGGGTTGTTCTCATTCGCCGTGTAGTGTAGTACTGGAATTTATACTAGAATGGGATACGTTAGTCGATTTGCTTGGGACCAATAGGCTAGTCAAGTAGTGAGCCAATTTTAAATCGTTAGTTTCGTATTGATTGTACATCCATTTTGTTGAAGAAAGCGTTCTCGCTTCAATAAATTTCTTAATTCAGCACTCATCACTGATCACCTTCAAAACTTATCAATCAATTGCACTGACACAAAACTATCACAGGATTGACAGATCGACTCGACGTTCCACTTAAGGAATGACCAAAGCAGAGAAACGACCGCAGGGAACTTTAGACCGCGTAGAAAAATACGGAAACTCGATTGATTTTACGAAACGTGTTTATTATTGCGTAAAAGCGAATAAGGAATAAGGTAAACACAAAACCCAAGTTAATACATTTCAAAGTGTTGATAATGTCTCTCTTTGCTTAAGTTCAGTGTGATAGCGCCTCTGACGTAACAGCCACCAACACTCCTGCTCGCTGAACACTGAATTTCCTGCTCTTACTGCTTTCTGATGAGCCCGAGACTCTTCGTGAACTGACCAATCTTCATTGGCCTTCGTGAAAATGTCGGCAATCATGTTTTCAGTGACGCAGTGTTTCAGCTGAATAATTGCTCTAGCACACAGATCCGGAGCATGATGTAATTTAATGTTAATGTGCTTACTGTGCTTGTTCTGCCGCTCCAACGAAACAAAGTCGATGCAGCTTCGATTATCCTCAAAGATAACTGTAGCTGCCTGCTGCTTCTCACCGAGTTCATCCAGCAACCTGCGTAACCAAACCGCTTCGGAGAGAGCGATGTACTCGGCTTCCATCGTAGTTTGCGGCTCGCCCAACTAACCGTTGCATGACCGACTTGAAATAGGAACCCGCTAGTAGATTTCCTGTCTCGCGAATCTCCCACCCAATTCAGGCTCAGCTCGTAGTCCTCCGTTTCGATTAAGTGCCGTACCACCCCCTTCTTTGTTGACACATACAGGAGGGCACCTACCAAACTATGGTATTGTTCATTGTCAGATAATGCCTCGCTGTCCTGCTTCCAGTACCCAACATCCAAAGGGTACTTCGACTGCTTCGCTTTACCTAGCCCAAAACGAACAGCAATCTCGCGAATGAACGCTCGTTGACTGAGGCAGAACACTCCACATTCATCTTTCCTCGCCCGGATGCCGAGGAAATAACCGACCTCACCAAGAGATGTGATATCGATTTTCTCCCGCAAAGCCGTCTAGGCTTCCATTAAGTAGGCATTCTTCACATCTACGTGCCGCACATGATACTTCCGGTGACCTGCGACAGTCAGAAGAACCGTCAGTGTCGTTTGCATAGCCACCGGTGCGAACACCTCTCCATAGTCAACGCTGAGCGAAATCTTGGGCAACTAGCCTTGCTTTAAATAGCATCATCTGCCCACGCGAGTCCTCTTTCTCCTTGAAGACCCTTTTTGAGCTTACGCTTGTCGCCCCGTAGGTAACGGCATGAGAGACCATGTACCTTTGGATAGAAGAGACTGGTATTCCTCGTCCATTGCTCCGACCCACTCCGTTCTGTTGACACTGCTGATCACTTCCTTTTAGTTTTTTGGTTCACTCTCACTCAGTCGCGCCACGCCAACAACGTAATCCTCCATACGCTTCGGCAGCGCACCAGAAGTCAACGGCTGTGATCTTCGTGGTTCGTCAACGCTTGTGTCTTCATCCAGGTCAAAGTACCCCTGATCGGTTGTATCAGTGTCGCTCAAACCGTGAAATGATGGTTCTTCCTGCAGACTCCAATCAGCGCCGCTTCCGGTTGGCCTTGGCTTGACCTCCGCTTGCTGTTGCGAAGCATCCAGCTCTACATCCGGTGGCACTGTGTCCAAATCAAGCGACAACTCTTCCACTTGTTCCGGAACTCGCTCCTCCTGAAGCTGCGAACCTAGCTCCAAAAACTTTGCGTCCCGACTGACGGTAATCTTGTTCGAATGACCATAGCAAAAACAATAGAATTTCTGGCCAAAGCACACTACTGACATCTAATACGCATGCAAAAGCTATGAATTAGTTCGTATCTGATCTATTCTGGACAAATTATTTTTATCTAGATCAAAAAATCATATGGTTTTGACAGTTCGGATTACTGCACATTTAAATCGGCCGTTCATGATTTTCGGGCATAAGTCAGAATTAAATGTCATGTCGATTTGTCGTTGATCCAAGTTCAATTGATCTCGTAGAAGTGCAGTGAACTTTGTAGTAGTGCCACCGACAAACCAACATGAATGATCATACAAATTACAAAGAAATTTCTGATCAAAGCACCAAACTGACATCTGCCGCCGTGTTCACGGAAAATATTTATCCTAGCCACGAACACGCATACAAAATCTATTAGTAGGTTCGTGTCTAATCTATTTCGGACAAATTATTTTTATCTAGATAAAACATTTCTATGGTTTACATTTGAATCGGCCGTTATCGATTCTCGACCAAGAGTTAAATTTAAGTTTCATGTCGGTTTGTCGGTGTTAATAGACCCTCTAACAAGCTTCGGAGCATGCCCTTGTCTTCTACTAAGATAACACCAAATATCGCATTCCGTTTCTCCCGCAGATCCCGCAAATGCCTGGACCCGAACGGTAAGCAGCTGGTGTTTGCCGTCAAGAAGGGAACGGACAGTAGCGTCCTGTGGAAGGGTACGGTGCGCATTGCCTGCGTCAAGGTCGATCCCACCACCAAGAAGGTCGAGTGCTACAAGCTGCTGAACCTGAAGCAATTTCTGCAGGTATTCCGCACCTTCCAGACCAATCTGCACGCGATGGTGACCGTTGAGACGCAACGGATTCGCACCCCTAACTCCAGCCCAACGCACTCCAGCTCCACGTCGACGACCGGGCGGAATGGCAGTTCGTCCAGCGGAACCGGTTCGTTCGAACGGCCTGACATCAGCCCGCAGACGCCAAACGCGCTTGTATTCCCCCAGGCGGCAACCACGACGGCATCGATTCTGATGGAACAGGTCGATGCCATCAGTAGCGGCAGCGCCGGTTTTAGCTGTGAAGACGGTCTACGCGGTGCCCAAGATTGTTACCTTGAGTGTAACGAGTGCTGCATCTGCTTGGAGCGGAAGCCGGAAGTGTCACTTCCTTGTGCTCACAGCTACTGTACACCGTGCATCGAGCAGTGGAACATTCACCAGAAGAAGTGTCCCATCTGTGATGAGGAGCTGGCCAGTACCGACGAAACTTGGGTCCTCTCGGAGATGCCCGAGGCGGAGGAGATCAGTGAGGAAATCTGCGTCACGCTGATGAAACTGTCCGTCGATGAGCGCAAGAAGTGAATGCAATTGAGCTCTCTAGTTTGCAGTGGGATGGTTCAGAGAGGAATGATTCTTCATTGTTTTTCAGGGAATGAGTACCTGCATTGAAGTGTGTGAACCGGAAAGCGTGATGTGATCGATCAGTGGCACTGGCTGCCACGGCTGTTGGGCATTGTGATTTGTGATGTGTAATTTGTAGATTTTATTGATTATTTTAAGCCATTGTTTGATACAGTTTACTAATTTAAGACCTTACTAGATTGACATATGAAATCAGTTGCAAATGATAATTAACGGATAATCGAATATAATGACGATAAATGTTATGAGTAATTCATTCTATACACCCTACAAATATCTTGTAATTTCATGTGCTAATGCTTGATAATAAAGTATCATGAGAATAAAATGATCGCATCTCATTAATGAACGCCGATATTGCAGTCTAATAGTAACGTTCAGACTATGCCTGATATCATGTAATATAGGCTGTCTTGCAATGAACACCACGGCTGGTAGCGAGTAATGCTGTAGAAAATTGTGATGTTGGTGACCATGTTGAAGAAATAAGTGACCAAATAGTGACCTATTGTTGTAAAAAAAAGTTACTTAAGAGAAGAAAGGTAGTCGATCTGATGGCACACCAAATAAATATTTGATGCCTCAGACTTATTCAATTAGTATATCATTAACACTTATGTACGATATGCACCTTCAATCGAAAGTTTATGACCAGAGCGGACGAAAGGTTTGAGACCATCGAAGTTCATGGAAGAAGAGTGTCTGTCAATGTGCTGCCCATGCGGATTCTCCATGATATTTCCGTAGCAATCGAACCATCGGTGACGTAAAATCTGTTGACATACAACGACCAGAAAATTCCGATAGCAGGTGAAGTTTCTCGACAATGCCTCATCAAAGGTTGTGAAGGAAGACGTCACTCCAGCGCGAGGCCGCAAAACTTGCATTGTCCTTCATCTTTTTTAGGCCAGGATTAACACTGTTGAAATAAACGAAAGTGATCTGTACGAAGGCCTGGGATGTTTGCGAAATTACGTTTATGATATTGATCTCGTCGGTAATCCAGCATGGAAAATCCGACCATCGAGAAACGTACCCCACAGCATCAGAGAGGATGTTGAGAAAGAACTTTCTAGTGTGTAAATATTGGAAGTGATTGCAAAGATAAGATTGTTCGAAAGAAGGGAAAACTGCTGATCGCAGGTTAATCAGAATCTCTTAAGAACCCACTTACAACAAATTAGAAAATCCCTGCACGTTTTAAACATTCTAGTCGGTTCACAATCTTGGATTGTACAAAAGGTTTCTGACAGATACAAGTGAGTGACCGCACATTAAAATGCCTCACGTTTGGAACGCCGTGGGGCCGTTATCGTTGTTAGCTACTACCATTTGGCCTGGCAGTGGCTCCCGAGGTATTCCAAAGCAGTATGCTAGAGGCGTTGAATGCTGTATGGATGATGTATTGATTCATGCCAGGAGCTCAAGGGAGTTGCAGGAAATTACAAGTATTGAAACGGATCCATACTGCAGGACCAAAGTTGAACCGTGAGAAGTGCTTGTTTGATCCGTCATCAGTAAAGTCCTTGGGACACATCCTGTCGTCCGACGGATTAAAAGCAACTGATGATAAACTTGACGCAATACGGAATCTCCAGGAACCTACTAATAGGCAGCAGCTGCAGAGAGCTCTAGGCATGATTACGTACCTCGGTAAGTTCATTAAAAACCTGTCAGAGATGAAAGGTTGGAAAGCAAGAGCGTTCAATCTTAGGAAAGAACGTTGCGTAGAATTTCTCCGCCCATACTAGCCTTCTACGACGTCAATGCACCTGTTACGTTGTCGATGGATGCTAGTTCGAAAGCGATGAGAGCAGTGTTATTGCAAGGTGGTCAGTTAGTCACCTACTTAGCAGTAAAATTCTTCTTTATGTTTGATTTGTTATGTCGTTTACAATTGCTAATACAGGGCAAGAGGTTAGCCGGAAGGGCTCTTCATCTTTGGTGAACTTTTTGATTTTATGTTGTACATGTTGTGTTTTACTGTGTAATGTTTTTCATGTTTCTTCTTGTGAAGTATGTTGTTTGAATGTTTTAATTTGTTATTCTACCTACTTAACCTAATTTAACCTAATGTGCCAGATCCCTGACGATCTGTTGGTCGGATCGCCTACAGTAATCTCTGAACCTTGCGATGGAGGCAGCTCTCCGTAATTCTAGTGTCTGACGATCAGCCAGGCGGTGGACCTCAGAGTTTCTAGTCCGTGGTGGACTGTTGAGGATCATTCTCAGGATCTTGTTCTGGATTCTTTGAAGTTTAAGATGGTGGCTTTTTGCGCAACTCTCCCAGATTGGCATCCCGTATTCTATTACGGGAAGGATGATTTGTTTGTAGACAGCAAGCTTATTTTTCAGGGACAGGGTAGACCTCCTGTTGATGAGTGGATACAACGATCTTATCAAGATGTTGCACTTGGTTTTGGTTTTGTCAACGTGCTCCCTGAAAAGAAGCTTGCTGTCTAATGTTAGCCCGAGGTACACGACCTCTTTGGACCATTTCACCACTGAGCCGTTTAAGCAGATCTTATTATTTTCAAACGGAACAAGTCTGGGAGATTTTGAGTGTGGAAAGATGATGACCTGGGTCTTTGCCGCGTTGATACGGATCTTCCAGCTGTTGAAATATTCACACAGAACGTCCAGGCCTCTCTGAAGTTTGGCAGTCAGAGCACCGATGACCCTACCCTTGTAGACGATGGATGTGTCATCTGCGAACAGAGACAACGATCCACCATCAGGGAGAGCCGGCATATCGGAGGTGAACAAGTTGAATAGAATGGGGCCAAGGATGCTTCCTTGTGGAACTCCGGCTCCGATGTTGAAAGCATCCGATGTGATGCTATTTAGAGAGACTCGGAACGTCCTGTCCGATAGATAGTTGTTTATTATCTTTCTTCACTAGGAAGATTGGAAGACCGTACTGCTGCAATTTGAACACAAGGCCATCATGCCAGACATTGTCGAACGCTTTTTCAACGTCCAACAACGCCATGGCAGATGTTTTCGAAACAGACTTGTTCCGTCTGAGAATATTTGTCACTCGAGTCAGCTGGTGGACGGTCGAACGACCTTTCCGAAAACCAAACTGTTCCTCGAGTAAGAAGTTGTTTTCATCGGCAGATGTTAGGAGCCGGTGGTATACTGCTCTTTCGAACAGTTTTGATAACCCTGAGAGAAGGCTGATTGGTCGATAACTTGAAGGTGAGGACGGATCCTTCCCAGGTTTCCGGATGGGTATGACTTTAGCTGACTTCCAACACGAGGGGAAGTAGCCAAGTCTGAGATGGTTGTAGAGTCTGGAACTGGATGTTGTCGAAACCTGGGGCCTTCATGTTTTTAGATGATTTGATATAGGCCAACAGTTCGTCAGCCGTAATCTCGGATTCCTCTAGAAAAATGTTAGGAATCTGATGAAGATTGGTTGCATTTTCAGCAACCTCAGATTCATGAGGGCTGACGATGTTTTGTCCGAGATTATGGGAGCTGACGAAATGTTGACCTACCGCTGCAGCCTTCTCTTCAGGAGTTATCAGATGAACCACTGGGTCGCCGGGACGATCCAGTGGGGTCAGTGGTGGAATGGGCCTGGGCTTGTTTTTAAGAATTTTCGTTAGTTTCCAGAAGGGCTTTGCACAATCTGGGAGACAGCGGATTTTGTTAGCAAAATCTTGATTTCTGAGGTCCACCATCCTGGCTTGGATGGTTTTTGTAAGACGATTGCAATGGGTCTTCAAGACACGCAAACCAGAACGCTGGTATTGCCTTCGGATGGAGTTACGGTGTCTGATGAGATCTTTGGTAATTCTATCAAGGTTCAGAGTATTGCAACACTGGCACGTGTTGGTCCCTGGCCCGGGATATCGCCTCCTCGATGGAACGCAGACACCGGTCAACGTCTTCGGGCGTCTCCGGAAGGACACCGTAGTCGACAGTGGAGTCGTCACAGTGTTGGAACTGCTCCCAGCTGACACGATGGTAGTTGCGTCGGGAAGCTTGGAATCGGTTGACAGATGAGCCTACTTCGGCCACCACCGGATAGTGGTACGAACTCAGCTCCTGATGGGTCACAGGTAGCGATTGTGGTTGTCTCCCATGTTGCTGATGAGGATGTCAATGGTGGAGTGAACACCAGATTGGCTCAACCGGGTGGGAGAGTCCGGCGCTAATATGGTGTAGCGAGCCTCTTGCAGGTCGTCGTTGAGGATGGTACCGTTTTGGTTGCGTCGACTATTGCCCCAAGCCTGGTGTTTGGCGTTCAGGTCGCCAGCAATGATGTACTTTTCGCGCCGTCGAGTTAGTTTGATGATGTCCTTCCGCAGGTCTGCTGCCGATCCGTCCCTGATGGTAATTTGCTTGGGACAGTACGTCGCAATGATGGTGATAGGACCGACAGGAGTGGAGACTTCTACCCCTAAAGCTTCGATGGTTTTCAGCTGGAAGCTCGGCAGAAGCCGACAGCAGATGTTTCTCCTTACAGCAATAGCAACTCCTCCTCCCCCGGAGCTGGTTCGATCTAGTCTTAGAAGCCGGAATTCAGGAAGGTAGACGTTTACCTCCGGTTTCAGGTGGAGTTCGGTGATAACGGCAATGTCGATGTTTTGTTTGTTGAGGAAGTCAATGAACTCGATGATCTTGCTCTTGAGCGAGCAAGCGTTCCAGTTGGCGATCTTGATGGTTTCACGGTCCATAATTTTCGATGAAACGTGATGCAGCAAGAATCTGCTCGGTTCTGGTTCTGCAGGAGCGCTTGATGATGATCGCTTCTGCCATGATGGTAATAAGTTCCTCTGTTGTGAGTAGCTCTTCGTTTTCATGCGATGGTAGGGCATCATCTCGACGCCACGATAGACCCGGGGGAGGGGACGAAACCGTTGCCGCAAAGGACTGACGGCTCGGATTAGCCGGATGGTTTGGCACCTCAGCAGTTGGCGGGACCGATGCAGCAGCAGCAGCAGCCAAACGGTTGTTGAGCAGTAGTGGTGGAAGAATCGGAATCGGACGCCGTTGGCTAATGGCGGGGAAATTCTGCTCATTGCGTGCCGGTACCTTTTTCCGACCCGGCTGGTTCTGCGTGGACGACCTTTTGCGGATTTCCATGAATTCCGCACGTTTCGGACAAGACTTGCTGGTAGCTCGATGTGCTGCACCACAGTTGGCGCAGTGTGGATCGGCGTTCCCCATGCTCTCGCATTCTTCGGGTGTTTGAGTTCCAGATTCAGGATGTTGTCGAAACCTGGGGCCTTCATGTTTTTAGATGATTTTATGTAGGCCAACAGTTCGTCAGCCGTAATCTCGGTTTCCTCTAGAAAAATGTTAGGAATCTGATGA